GGCGGGGCTGGGGGCGGGGCAGGAGGGGCTGTGCTGCGGGGGGCAGGGCAGGGGGCTGGCTGCGGGGGGGCCGGGCAGGGGGCGGGGCTGGGACAGGGCAGGAGGGGCTGAGCTGCGGGGGGGCGGGGCTGGGGGCGGGGCAGGAGGGGCTGGATGCGGGGGGCCGGGGGCTAACCCCGCTCTCCCCTCAGGATTTCGTCGTCACCGCTGTCTTCGCCTTCATGTGGCTGGTGAGCTCGTGCGCCTGGGCCAAGGGTCTCTCCGACGTCAAGCTGGCCACGGACCCCGACAACGTGATCGAGGGGCTGGATGTCTGCAAGAAAGAGGGGAACACGTGCAAAGAGCTGAAGGAGCCCGTCATCTCGGGGCTCAACACCTCTGTGGTGAGACCCTTCCCCAGCCAGCCAGAGCCCTTGGGGGGAGCCGGCGCCCCCCGGAGGGGACAGGCCCCTGCCCCATTCCCCGCCCCCTGAGCCAGCCAGTCCCTGCCCTGGGGCCGGATGGGAACCGGCGCCCCCTAGAGGGGACCCCCTCCCCGCTGTGCATTAACCCTTCCGTCCCTCTCTCTGCCTCCCCCGCCACCCAGGTCTTTGGCTTCCTGAACCTGGTGCTGTGGACGGGGAATCTCTGGTTCGTGTTTAAGGAGACGGGTTGGAGCGCCCCCTTCGCCAAGTACCCGCCCGCCGTCCCGGAGAAGCAGCCGGCTCCGGACACCTACGCCGACTCCTACAACCAGGGCTCCGGCTACGTGCAACAGGATTCGTACGGCCAGCAAGGCGGCTACCAGCCGGAGTACAACCAGCAAGGCTACGGGCAGCCCGACCCCTATGCCCAGCAGGGGGGGTACAGCCAGGCCGCCCCCACCTCCTTCTCCAACCAGATGTAGGCGGGTGAGTTAACCTGGGGTGCCGGGAGGGGGGTTGCGTTCTGTGGACGCAGGCCAGACTTACAGACTTCGGGGAGTCTATCCTGGGAAGCAGCGACGCTGGATTTGGGGAGCGTGGGGGTCGCGGGGCCCAAAGAACTAGGGCGATGCTGGGGTGTATAAACAGGCGACTCTCGAGTGGGAGCAGAGAGGTGATTTGGCCTCCGGATCTGGCCCTGGTGCGACCACGGCTGGGATCCCGGGTCCGGGTCTGGTGCTCGCCGTTCAAGGAGGACGTGGATCAATCGGGGAAGGGCTCAGAGAAGAACCGCGAGAATGATTCAGTCCCTGAGAGCGAGAGACGCCAGGATCTCCCGCTGTTCGGCTGAACAAAGGGAAGGTGAAGGGGTGAACTGATCCCGTCTCCCGGCGGAACAAATATCTAATAACGGGCTCTCCCATCTGGCCTCAAAGGTCGAACACAATCCAGTGGCTGGAAGATGAAGCTGGACAAATTCAGCCTGGAAATCAGGTGTCTGTTTTTAACGGCGGGCGTAATTCACCGTTGGAACAATGTGACCAAGGGTCACGGTGGATTGTCCATCACAGGCGATTTTTCAGTCAAGCTGGGACGTTCTAACTAGGGTGACCAGATGTCCCGATGTTATAGGGACAGTCCCGATTTTGGGGTCTTTTTCTTATATAGGTGCCTATTACCCCCCATCCCCTGTCCCGAGTTTTCACACTCGCTGTCTGGTCACCCTAGTGCTAAAAGATCAATTCTAGGAATTATTTGGCGGCCGTTCTGCGGCTTGGGTGATACAGGAGTTCGGGGTCGATATTCACACTGGACAATTCTGGCCTTGAAATCCCTGAATCTATAAGCAAACTGGGAAGGGTCCGATTTGCACCCGTAAATGTCACCGGCGCCGAACAAACAAACAAAATATGTCCATCAAGAATCAAAATGTATACGTGGGCAAAGCAAGATAAATGGGAAAAAGTGCTTCAAACCCATCATTTCAACTGTGAAAATTGAAATCAGTTAAAAAAAAAGTTCTTAAAGCCTGTAGTTTTGCACAGCTATGAACATTTAAATGGATGAAAATTGAAAAAAATGCTTAACCAGCCATTTTAACAGTGAAAATTTAAATTAGGAAAAATAAAAAATGTGCTTAAAGCCCATAATTGTGCACCACTGTGAAAATTTACATCAGTGAAAAGATTAAAACCCATCAGTCTGATGGTGAAAATTTAAATTGGTAAAAATAAGAAAAGTGCTTAAAACCTGTAATTGTGCAGAGCCGTGAAAATTTAAATCCATGAAAATCGAAAAATTGCTTGACACCCATTCTTGAGCATGGCTGCTAAAATTTCAATCAATACAAGTAAAAAATTCCAATGCTTAAAACCCATCATTTTAGCTGTGAAGGTTTACATTGGTTTGAAAAATTGCTTAAAACCCATCATTTTGCACAGTGGTGAAAATTTAAATAGGTAAAAATAAAAAAAATGCTTAAAAATAACCATCAATATTGTCCATCAAAATTATATTAAAAAAAATCAAATGCTGCCAAATCCCACATTAACGAATTCCGTGTCTCGCCTTTCTCAAGGACTTTCCATTTCGATTGCTTCGCTAAAAAAAAAGGACTCGAGCGTTGAATTTAACTTTATGGAGCTTTATTAGCTGTGCATAACAACAGCCACGAAGCGTGCAAGATAGAAGGATGCAAAAATGGTGTCGCGCTATGATTTGGCATAACATAAACCAGACAGTTGATCAATCTACCCCTCCACGTTTCCAGAATCAAATAACACTTATCCTCCATCGCCAGCTTGGGAAGGTGACTTTGTTTAGATTTTTGTGACTAAGAGACCCGCAGAATAGTCCCTCGCTTGTGCCAGTTGCTTATCAAATCTGGTGTTGCTAACACAATCGAGGAAAAAGAATCCAGATCTAAACAGAAGACATCAAGGTCGTGTTCCCATTGGATCTGTAGTCAACCTTTTAACCTACTTCCCCATGAGTTATATTAATAGAGTCATCGACTCTGTCCTCCTGTGTCGCACCTGTGGCCTTTCTCCTCCTTCCCTGGCTCTATACTGACTTCTAAAACCTCACGCAAAAAAATCATGAGGCGAGGAGTTCCAATGGATTACATCATAAACTGGTGCTTCTTTGGGTCTGCTACAGATTCTCAGAAGGGACCATCGGGATTATCTAGTCTGACCTCCTGTATCACACAGGACTTCCTCCAAAGAATTCCTAGAGCAGATCTTTTAGATCTTGATTTTAAAATTGCCCAGGATGGAGAATCCACCACGAGCCTTGGGAAATTCTTCCAGTGGTGACTTATCCTCACCTAGAGCTTGCGAGGCCGTAAGAAACCGTTAAGCCTGGCGGGATGTTTCCCAGTCAAGAGGAACTTGTTCCATTTGGGACCAACTTTCCCGCAATCTCGAGCAGCACCCGCTCCAGAACAAGGACCCGCCCAGGGACGCCGGGACAATCTTTAAAGCGCGTGTACTGACACCTACACATCCTGATTAATTAGCTACCCAGCTTCAGGTCAAACAGCATCCAGGAGCCAAGCCTCTGTCTAGAACAAAGATTCTATTTGCAGAGGAGGCGAATGTCCCGCACGTGACTGAGATTTCATAGCGCTCCGGTGTTTTGCCTGCGTTAGCGTTTTCCGCTCCATAGCACAGATCTGTCGTCGTGTTAAGTTGCTTCCCAAGGCATCTCGCTACTGAAAAAGAGGGGGGGTGTCCAACCTGTGTGTTGCGACCGACCTTTCACCCCGCGGTCGAAAGGCCTTGGATTGAACACCGCTGACAGACGCTCATCTGCGGGGCCGAGACCATCAGGACAACGACCCCCCAGCCCGTGTTTGACGTACGACGCTCCCGCTAACACACCCAGAACGACCTTAGGCGTTTTTGCGGCCGCATCCTGTGGCAGGCTCTCCTTCAATCTGTGAGCTGCTCTGAGCTCCAGATCCTCTTCAGCCGTCCCACCCGTTAGCCGGCGATGCCCCCGGCGTGGGACTTTTCCTTCCGACGCTCGGCTCGCTGTGAATGGCCTCTTGTCGCATTCAGCCCCGTTCTCCAATTTGTCCTGATCATTTTCAGTTCCCCAGTGGGCTGGCCACCTCTCCCAGCCCGGGGTCACCTGCAGCTTTGAGCAGCAAACTCTCCGCTCCAGAAACGCTGGTCGAAGATCAAATGGGCACAAATACAGACAGAGCTCCGTCGATCCGGGCGGACAACCAGCAGCGTGGCCTCTTCTGCAGATAGAGATCTGTGAACCTTAGGCTGTTCCTACGGGTGCAAACCTCCCCCAAATTCGTGTCCTTCGTACCCTAAGATTTTATCCCGAGGCTGTCTGCCTCTGCTGTCCACGGTCGTTGGCGATTTCTACCTGGTGTCTAGCCACATTTCTATCCCTTGCCCATTATCTGCACAACCCTCGGCAAAATGCACCTTGATCTCTGTGGGCCGCGCGGACAAAATCTACTTTAATATATTGGGGGTCAGAGCAGTGGTTCTCTACCCTTTTGATACCAGGGAGCGCCCTGAAAGTGGGAGGGGCCACAGGTGCCCGTGTCGGCCCCAGGATACTAGACAGACAAGCCGGGGCGGGGAACGTCTTTGATTGGCCCAGCTTCTGCGGGCGGACGAGACACGACGCGTCTTAGGCCCTACGAGGACCCGCCCGCTCGGTTACCGTTCGCAGCGGGAGTCAGGGACACGGTCTGGTCATTTCCAGGCTTTCAGGAAGGGGCCCGGCTGGGTGCCCCAAGCCGGTTCCTCTCCTTGGAGGTGCTGGTCTGGGCCAGGCCCCGTGAAGATTAGAGACGCCCAGCTGAAGCGAGAGGCCATGCAACCAGGGGCCGAGGCGTCCTCGCAGCCGCAGCCAGCGTCTTCCAGCCCCTTTGTGCGACCCGCCTCGCCGGAGGCGCTGGGTCAGGCCACGTTGTTCTTTGTGTGCCAGCCGCCCGTCGCCTCCGGGGCCTTCCGACCCTTCTCCCTCACCCTCCACGGCTAACTGTGACACCCTGTTTCCTATGCGTCCTGCCAGTCGTCTTTTCTCCTGGCCTCGGCAGGAGCTCGGGACCTCCCGCTGAACCGATGGGTCGGTGACGCTGCTGATTGCTCCGTTCCGATCGGGCGTCCCTGTAATGGTTTCACTTCCTTTTATTCGCCGCCTCTACCGGCCTAGCTGTGGCGACAGCATAAGCTTGTTTGATGGCAAGGTGGAGCAATCTTTCTTCACTTCAGCCTTAAGAAATCAGTCTGAACGCAACAGCCTCTCCCCGGCGGTTAAACCCCACGGTTACAATATGTTCCCCTTACACCCCGCTCACCGTGTTTGCTTCACTTCGCTCTTGTCCCTGCTGTATTGGGTCACGTTAAGAGTCTCGTAACAGCCGCCAGCTATGCCGTTAATGTCTCAACAGCCAGACGGAGGCAGAGCAGCGGCTCGTGGCCTGCGGCAATCCGTGAATTCACCGGCTCGGGCCCTCAGGGGCCGTGGTGTGAGCTGATATCTAGGAGACCCACTGCGCTGGGGTGGGACCATGGCTGTTTTGTATCTTGACCCCGCGTCGGCCTGATTCTTGGGGCCAGGCACCAGAAACCCCACAGATCCTCAGTCCTGATCCAAGCCCCTTCCCCAGGCATCAGGCTGTGCCCTCCCTCATGAGAACAGCGGTGTGTGGGCAGAGATCACTGAGCGGAGTGGGGCCACCTGGAGAGCGGAAGGACAGAAAAATGGCAGGAGAGGCTGAGATGCAGCCATCTCTGCGGTGGGGCGCAGAGGCTGTTTATACAGGGTGCCCGGCCCTAAGATGCGGCCGCTTCTGGGGAGAGCTGTTTAGTCAGGGATCTCGTGCCCTCTGCTGGGTTGTTATAATTGGGGGTGCCCGCTGCAGAGTGCGGGAGGGGTTAGCAGACTCAATCTGGACCCAGATGGACCCCCCGAGGAAGGGAAATGGCACGCCGGGTGGGGGGTTGCCTTATAATTGCTTTAGCATCCTGTATTTCATAGCGGGAACCGGGTCTGACCCACTGCACCCCCACTCCCCACCCGCCCCAGAGCCGGGGAGAGAACCCAGGAGTCCGGGCTCCCAGCCCCCCCCCGCTCTGATCACTAGCCCCCACGCCCCTCCCAGGGCCGGGATAGAGCCCCAGTGAGTGAAGAGCGGGGGGGGGGGGTGCGATCCATGATGTGGCGCTCGCTGTGTGTGCTCTTATTAATGACCCCTCCCCATTTTTCTCTTTCTCTCCACCCCGCCCAGGTCTCTCCCCCAGCAGGGGGCGTCGTGAGGAGAAGACGCCTGTCCCGTCCCACCCCCCCATGTCCCCTCATGTGGGGGGGCTGGCAGGGGGACCCCAGGATGAATGTAGATGTTTGTGCTGTTTATATATATTATATATATATATATATATATATATGAGAAAATACCACTCTAGATAGCCGTGCACCCCCCCACTTCCCTGCCCACCTCCCCGCAGCACCCCAACTCCAGACAGTTGTGCACCCCCACCTCCCTGCCCTGCCCCCAGGACCCCACCTCCTGCCCTTTCACCCCCCCCAGCCAGTTGTGCGCCCCCACCTCCCTGCCCTGCCCCCAGCACCCCACCTCCTGCCCTTTCACCCCCCC